TTTGTGTTTCTGCAATATCATTTAAGACTCTTGTGGGTTCGGGTAAAAAAATAACACCTAACCAGGAATTTGGAAAATACCAAACCATCATCTGACAGAGCTGTCCAAAGCCACTCGTACGAACAGCCAAAGCCTTAAAAAACACCCATATTAAAGCCCAGCCTCAGCCACACAGGTGCGGAACAATGGCCAAGGCCACGGCCACACATACACCACCTGTAAATGTTAACCACATGTGTCCCATGCAGGGGCAGATGGTGGTATAATCACAATCGCTCCTTCGTCTCTGTGCTTTTACACACTCTCAACCACAGCTTCCCTCTCTCCGTGTCTTTGTCTCAGGGTTTTAGTCTCTCTCCGCCATACTGCTGAAGAAAATAAAAGTGAAGAGGAGGAAGGAGACTGTGAGAAAGATAGGAAGAGAAGAGTGAGGAGAGCTGAGGTCACCTTGATCTACAGCCTCCTGCCTTCACTGCAGCTCGGGGTCAGAGGGCAAAACACAGGAGGCACTCTCAGGGACACACATATATTCTTTAACACACACAGGTGTGTTTTATATATGAAGTGTAAGAACTGTTCATGCAATTATCTCCGTTGTATCCTTTCTCTGTGTCTTCTGACTAAATGTGGTTAAGTTTGCTGTGTCATTAGAAAGACACGGGCAAAGAAAGTCTGTATGTCTAGAACTACAGTGCCCTACAAGCAACCTTAAGACTACTTTCACTGTTAATTCAAATAACCCTCTGTTCTCTTTAATACCTGCAAGAAATGACCATTCCCTCCCCCGTAAACTGAATTATAATCACTCAGGCTGATTACACACTTTGATCTGATCCTATGGATTTAACCTGATCCAGAGCAGGACCTGTAGCTGTGCAGCAAAGGTTAAAGTGGTGTTACGAACCCAAATTCAGACCAGACGTGAGATGTCAGCGGCGTTTAAGCACTAGCAATGCGTTCATCCGTTCAAAAACCACTGACTCTGACCTCTGATCAACTGGTGAGTGATGGTTGTCGAAAAACACTATGGAGAAACTTAAAATGCGGTGTGGATTGTCCATTACACAGGCATTGCTGCAAGTTCAGGTGCTACCGAACCACCTGTTGGCGCTGCAGTACCCAAAAACTGAAAGGTGCTGATTTGTGAAAGGTGATTTAAGTGACTTTGAGCATGGCATGGTTGTTGGAGCCAGACGGGCTGGTGATATACTGGGATTTTCACACACAACCATCTCTAGGGTTTACAGAGGATGGTCTGACAAAGAGAAAATATCCAGTGAGCAGCAGTTCTCTGGGTGAAAATGCCTTGTTGATGCCAGAGGTCAGAGGAGAATGGCCAGACTGGTTCAAGATGATAGAAAGGCAACAGTAACTCAAATAACCACTGGTTACAACCAAGGTCTGCAGAAGACCATCTCTGAACCAACAACACGTCCAACCTTGAAGCAGATGGGCTACAGCAGCAGAAGACCACACCAGGTGCCACTCCTGTCAGCTAACAACAGGAAACTGAGGCTACAGTTCACACAGGCTCACCAAAACTGGACAATAGAAGATTGGAAAAACGTTGCCTGGTCTGATGAGTCTGGATTTCTGCTGCGACAAACAACATGAAAGCATGGATCCATCCTGCCTTGTATCAATGGTTCAGGCTGCTGGTGGTGTAATGGTGTGGGGGATAGTTTCTTGGCACACTTTGGGCCCCTTAGTACCAACTGAGCATGGTTTAAACACCACAGCCTACCTGAGTATTGTTGCTGACCGTGTCCATCCCTTTATGACCACAGTGTACCCATCTTCTGATGGCTACTTCCAGCAGGATAACGCACCATGTCACAAAGCTCAAATCATCTCAAACTGGTTTCTTGAACATGACAATGAGTTCACTGTACTCCAATGGCCTCCACAGTCACCAGATCTCAGTCCAATAGAGCACCTTTGGGATGTGGTTGAACGGTAGATTCACATCATGGATGTGCAGCTGACAAATCTGCAGCAACTGTGTGATGTCATCATGTTAATATGGACCAAAATCTCTGAGGAATGTTTCCAGCACCTTGTTGAATCTATGACACCAAGAATTAAAAAGGGGGTCCAACCCAGTACTAGCAAGGTGTACCTAATAAAGTGGCCAGTGAGTGTATATGCACACTCATAACGTTCACATTTTATTACTTCAAAAATCTGTTTACACCTGTCATACTCATCCTTATGGCAGCCAGAGATTTATACTCACTTATAATTTCATACTGCAGCACCGTCTCTGTCCATCTGTCAGTCAGGTTATCAGTGGCAAAGTGTGTGCATGTGTCACTCTGAAGGAGCGAGCTAAAAATACAACACCAGCCTCAGCTCACTTGATGGTTACACTACACACACATACACACACACACACACACACACACACACACTCGGGAATATGGAGGAAGTCTCGGCTGTGATCCATCATTGAGAGACTGAAAATTATGACACCACAGAGAGAAGAGCAAGAGACACACACACACACACCAAGAAGGGAGCAAAACCGCTCACACACTCGCACACACACATGCATAGCGGCAGACAGTAGAGTCTCTATGTTGTCAGTAACCACCTTCGAGACCCTGAGGTGTCACAAATGACTTCAAATAGGACAGAGAGAGACGGAGGGATGAGGGAGGAAGAGAGAGCCAAGTGATGCATGTTATAATGACTTCATTTGACACAGTCACTCTCCAACACCTCATGTTTTTCTCTTAAACACTCTGTGACACACACACACCTGCACATGATTTTTCTCCCTCTTGTTGCATCTATCATATTGAACCCTTTTGAGCTTATTCTATCCATTAAGTGGATTTCTGGCAGTTTTCAATAACTGGGAATCTTCTGCAACAAAAGAGTTGCTACATCTTATCTATCTGAGCGGTTTGTGAGGATGACAACTCTGTTAGAATTATTTGAACTAAAGTTTAGTTTCACAGTTTGTGAATCAAGGGAAATAAAAGTGAACACAAAGCTCTTCAATCTTGGTTTGGTTTTGATATATTGGGTGCGCTTATTGTGTGTTCGGTGGTTGGAGAACAGTGCGTGTGTGACTGCTGGTCGCATGTAAGCTGGAATAAAAAATGTGTGTAGCTGAGTGGGTCAGTGGTTCAACACACCATCCCATAAACTGATGTTAAATGTCCGTCATGGAGGAGAAGCTCCTGGACCAACTGGTGGTGCTCCCTGTGATCCACCCTCTCTTTTAGGGTCTCATGAACCCACACAGATCTCTGTTTCCCTGTGCCCAACAAACTATTTGCTGACAGCAACACAGCACGCCTCAAGTTTTGCAACCTGCAAAACTCAGTCTGTGTGATCGGGGCTGAAGTGGGTCCTTTTGTATTTCCTGGTGGAATATAATGCAGTATGAATGACGTCAGCTGAGAGGAAGTAAACATGGACCAAGGCAGCTGCTTTGGAATGCATTGCCTGTGAAATGGTCTATAGATCGATTCACGCTAACATCACGCTAACTCTTGTGGGTAGGTAACTGGCAGTTGATTTGAATTGCAGAGATATGTGAAATCGGTAAACTTGTTTATTTCTGTTGTCACTTTTAGCCAAAACTGTAACGTTCAAAGATATTTTGGTAATCTAGGTAGTCGGACCTATCTGGCGTGTACTGTGTGGTTTCGCTTGTATCTTTGATAAACCACATCTCGCATGAAGGCTAAGCAACGTACTGCTGCAGACAGGGGCTGCAGCAAAACCTATTTTAGCCACCTAAAAAAAATCAATATCAGTTTCAATGTACACTATATATGGAATATTACAGTTTTAGCTTACACACTAACTGATGAAGGCAGCAGTAGATCAGCACCTCCTGTGTTCTAAAATGACTGTTTTTGTCAGTGTAGTCTGGGAGCTTTGAGGCACTGGTTTCAGCTCCCTGTCAAAAACGGCTGTATGATGACAAGGTAAAGCTGTGAAATAAATATAGCGTGCACTTAAACAGATACTGACTTTTTTTTAGGTGGCTAAAAACTAACCGAGGCAGCATTTGCTCAGTGGTGTTTTATTTTATGTACATGATGTTTTTTTCCCTGAAGTAACTGTAAACAACACTGTGATTCAGTTTATAAGGTGCATGCATGTGATAAACATGAAATGGTGTACATTTACAGCCAGCAGGAGAACAATTAAGCACTGAAGCTCTGACTTTCATCCTTCTTATCATGAATCAAATTATAGATGCTGATCAAGAAAAACCATCTGCTGTCACGCTCTAAGCTTTCTGAATTTGAGCACCAAATAAATGCCTCATGTGGCAATCAAGCAGAAAACAAAAACAAGATAAATGGACAGAAAGTGAGAAGAAACAGACGGGAGATCAGTGGAGAAGAAATCCACCGAACTCCCAGTAGGCTCATCCACTAAGGGGTTGGTTAATTCACTAGCCCCACGAGAACCTTTACTGTGTGTGAGTGTGTCTCTGAGCGAGTGAATAGACCTCTGTGTGGAACCACAGAGGCATTTGGTCATGTTTATATCCTTGTTTTTGGCTTGGGTGAGTGTGTACATATCGGTATGTGTGTGCATGCTCTGTGAAGGTGTATCCATACCAGCGCAGTGACGTGTAAGGTTGTGTGTGTTCGCTTGTGTGTATCTGCGGACAGAACATTTAAATAAATACAAATTCATATGAAAGTGTTGTCACCGGAGATTTGTAGAGCATTTGAACTCTGTGTGTGTTTGTGTGTGGTAAGTGTGGGAGGGGTATGTTAATCCTAAATTTACCCATGGTGGTCGGAGAACTGTGGTCACATCTGGACTCAGTTTCTCTCAGCCTGTCTTGTTTTCTTTGCTCCCCTCGTCATTGCCACCTCACCTGTGCACCCTCTTTTTTTAAACCCCTCTCCACACTTTTTCCTCTCCGTCTCTGCTCCTCTCATTGAAATAAGTGACCAAAAAGTTTTCCTGGTGTCCACTTAGATGTGAGAGTAGGTGTGTTGGTGTGTACGCAGTAATCCTACCTGCTGTTTGAGCTGATGAACCAGACCGTCCTTCTCCCTCTTCAGAGCTGCTACTTCTTCCTGGGTTTTCTTCTTCTTGGATGAGGAGAGCTCCAGAAGGGCGATGTTGGCGTCTTTCTCACTTATGGCTGCCAGCAGCGCCTCTTGCCTGCACAGAGAAAAATCATACATTTTGTTAGCAACACTAGAACTAAAACTAATTAATTTGATTTAATTAAAGCCACACTTGGGCAAATTAGACGTGTTTCTCAAATCAGATTTTTAAGACAGATTGTCTGCACTGTTATTCGCTGCTGATCAGGTCCAATTTCAGTGTCAATACATCACCAATCCATCTGAATGTGCTGCTGTGGTAACGACGTGTGTGAGTGACTATGTAGCTGTGCTTGTGATGCAGATTTCCAATGTGGAAGTAGAAGAAACGGAGGCTGACAACAATAACTGTTTTCAACACGGAAAAACGGATAAATCATCACAGAAGAAATTCACTGTTGGGTTTATCATTATGAACTGATTTTACAAAGTGTCCAAAGAAACATCACAGTTCAAGGCTGGATTATAAAGCTTCTGAAATGCATACGATCGCACCGCAGCGGCATGACGCTTAGCTTCTGGGCAAACACATTGACTGAGCTACACAGATGAGCTGATTATCGAGTAGCAGGCAGTGCAACAAAAAATAATTAATCAATATTTTGGGGCGTCAATCAAGAAATCCAAGTAGGTGAGATTCTCAGCCCATTAGAATTAATGCAGCCATGAAATATGATCCATTTTTTCACCCGCAAGCATATGTTTTCTATTGTTATGCAACTCTCCAATAAGTCTGTAAATCTAAGTTCTATTTACATGTAACTTGTTAATTCCAGTCTGTAGTTTGATGTTCAGTTGTCAGGATGGCCGATCAATTTTTTTTAACAAAACAGCCCGGCCAGCCTAAGGCGCCAGACTCAAGGATTGACTCCTTCCTAGGTGAAAAGGACTTCTGGTCTTCAAATGGAGGCGTGGGTTCAAATCCCACTCCTGACAGAGCTTTAATCAGTTTGACAATGCAGATATGTCTCCTTTTGTTTTAGAATATGGCCAAATTCATTGTAAAACACTGACTGTGCTACACATGTGACCTGATTGTAAAGAAGCAGACTGTGTCACCAACAAAACAAATCCACTGATATTTCAGGGGGTTGACCCAGAAGGCAATACAATTAATGCAGCGTCAAATTTTGATCCATTTGTTTGACCCTTACAGCCCGGTTAGCTCAGTCGGTAGAGCATGAGACTCTTAATCTCGGGGTCATGGGTTCAAGCCACACGTTGGGCGAAGGTGTTTTAGACTAACACTAAACCTAACATGAACAGAAAGATGTTCAGGCATCCCATCAGCAATAGAATTACCAGCAGAAAAAACAGAAGTGGGGAGAGCAAGCACATGACCAATGTCACTCTTCATCTTCATCTCATCTGAACATGGCAAAACACAAATATTTTCCCAACAAGACCATGTGGAATTAGGTAACTGAAGACCAAGTGTTGAGTGAGAGTGGTGCGAAAATGGCAGGCAAACTCTGCTATGTTTCGCTTATGTGTCATAACAACGTTTTATATATCTGTGGTCCTAGGTCTTCTGGTTTCCTCTTTGAATGATGAATATTGACTAAAGTCCCCTGCTGGTATGGAGAGTTATTTCCTCCCACATAAGTGCAAAATGTACACGTTAGCTAGCTGTTGATTTTAGTCATTTCGGTGAGTTCAAATGCAACCTTTTGGCCTAGACACAGGAGATGTGAGGCGATGCAACAATTGGCTTTTGTCACAACTACTTCTTCAATGTTGGTTTGGTGTGTCTGGGCCTTAAGGTGCCAGACTGCCTAGTTGACCCCTTCCTGAATGAGAGGGATTTCTGGTCTCCTCTGGCGACAAAGATCTCTCATACCGTACTGACTGAGCAAAATCACGTGATCACAGAAAATGGCAAAATTAGACAAACAACATCGACTCCGCTACACAGGTGAGCTGATTGTCAAACAGCAGACTGTGTCAGTGACAAAGCAAATGAATCAATATTTTGGGGAGTCAACCCAGAAATCCAACTGAATGAGGGTCCTCAGTCCATTAGAACTAATGCTGCGACGAAACCTGGTCCATTTTTGACGCACGCAATGCCCGGCTAGCTCAGTCGGTAGAGCATGAGACTCTTAATCTCAGGGTCGTGGGTTCGAGCCCCACATTGGGCGAAGGTTTTAGACCAAGACTTGACGTAAACATGCTCAGTACACCCTTTGCCGAGGACCCTTGAGAAGCGTTCAACCTAAAATCACTCTCTGATGGGTGTGCTGGACAAGCAGTTGCAATGTGTTGCCATGTTGAGAGCAAACAGCCACATTAACTTCCATAGTGTCCAGTATGTCTGATATTTCTCATCAGTGCATGATGGTGTGACAGTCTCGCGTGCAGCTCAGCTGGAAAAGATCTGCTTCAGTGATATGGCACGCAAAAGACACTTTGAAATCTGACTTGAGCGTCCAGAGCATCTGGGTTGAGACGCATCTGTATAAACCTGATTGGAATCGCATTTCAAACCCACTCCAAACGTGGTTTGAATAAGCTTTGTAAAAATAGCATTTCATGTGGTTTGTTGCTGTCCAGACTTTCTCAAATCCAACTGGATAAAATCTTGATGTGCCAAAAAGTGGATTCTGGCTGGCACTCTGAAAAAGACCTTGGTAATATTGGTGAAATTTTACAACTTTGAAGACCCAGAAATGATGTGGTGAATGCAGTTTGAGCTTTTTTTGGAGTTTCAGCTTGGTTCACCGAAATTACAACAACAACAAAAATTCCCCCAGCTTCATCTAGTTGTATCTGGCCATACAGATTGCAATGGATTTATTTTCCCATTCTAGCCTCCACCCCAGTATAATAGAGGTGAGGAGAATTATGACTTTGGTGTTTACAGCATTGAAAAACAACATTTAGACTATTCAACACTAACATCCTTTTCTTGAACTCTGATTGCATTTTCTGTGGATTTCCCAGAGTGACAGGGACACAAGATGTTCCTGTTACATTTCTAAATGTAATTTTACAACCTTATGAGCGCCACAAAAAAACATCCTTTACCTCCCCTGTACTGGAGTCAAAAAAGATATCCCACTCTTAAAATCTGGACAAAGGAAACCAAAACGATCTGCGCGGCCAGATACTAATTTGGGTGTACTTTAATATCATGGTGAACCCATGGTGTGTCAACAAGTGGAGGGAAGTCCTCTTAATTGGGGCGCCGCTTTGTGATTTAGGAGGATAAAATTGGTGTTTTCTCGCAAAAATATGAGTCTTCCTGGTGGTCAAGTGTGACGCACCATGCAATCAAGATGTTTCTAGTTTGTTTACGGTGTTTATGGCATATGTTTACTCTCTCTTTCTCCTTTATTTCATCTCACATAGTCCACCAGAACAAATTTGCTATGCTCATGTTGTGCGTAACTACCTTTATCTTTAAATAACTGCATGAATGAACACACACAAACACACACATATGTGCCTCTCACTCTCTGTTCCCAAACAAGTATTAGTCTCTGTCTGTCTTTCCAGCCCTCTTGTCTCTCTCTATCTCTCCCCCCTGCCTGGATGGTCGGGCTGATGGATAGATAGCATTCCATGTGGTTCAGGAAGCAACAAGCCGCATCCCATCCATTCCATCAGCCACAGATCTGGCTTGCGCCGCCTCCGAGGACACCCAAGGCTCAGAATTCTCGGAATTCTGCCCCTTTCCAGAGATAATTTAAATCAACATTTTTTTTTCCCACAATCCCACAGGGCTCAACGATTGGCCACACGCAATCACACATGCATGTAAACACATAAAAAAGATGCAACCTTGTATGCGGAAGAATAAATACATTCCCTCTTCGTCTGTTTCTCTGAATCTCGCTTCTGCGATAAATTGTGTTTTTGCAATCAGGTGATATTTCAGGAGCTCCAGTTTCTCTATCACAAGCAAGAAATAGAGTACGAGCAAAGGAGGCTATATTTCCTCTCATGTACCCCACCACTGCACCTACAGATAAGCATGTATGAAGATAAATGCACACACAGACATACAATTATCCAGATACACACAAACACAGACAGGGGATTTACAGTTTTTACGTGCCATTTTCTTTTACATTTTTGCTCCATTGCTCTCTTTACTCAACACACAATTACACCGTTTCTGTCTCTCACAAACACACACACACACACACACACACACACACACACACACACACACAGATACAGTGGTGCAGTGAGGAATGCAGCGATGAGAGTGTCTAAATGAAGACAGATTACATGTTTGGACTCTGTGAAGACCCACAGATTCTTTGGTCAACCTCACTGACCACACTGTCAGTGTACAAGTGTCCCATCATGCATTTAGACTGAAGCAATGCTGTCAGGGGCTGAGGGAGATGAGACTGGGGTTGGGAGATTGACTCTCTGGGCAAATCTGTTCACTGTCAGACTGCTCAAAGACATTTCAGATGTGCGAATATGGATGCAACATGTTGGGATATTACAGGGGACCTGCTGTGCTCATTTAAAGGTTCATACTTGTATTTTGAACATGTTTACATGCTTTAATATTCAAAAAACACTTTATCATCCTCATACTGTCTGTGCTGGAACACCTGTAAGTCTTCCTTATCTAAGTGTCTCTGCACCATCATTGCAGCCTGGGAATTATTGTAACGGGGTACACTTTCTCCCGTTAAAAGGAATCCCTAAAAGATTCTAAACCAAAATCTTTACAAGCGGACATGCTCCTGCAGGAATATGATCCTAAATCGGGAGGAAATTTACATATCAGCAACCAAGATCACATGTTTCCCTGATGTTAGCATGTAAAGTAGACACTTGCAGTAACGTCCCTGCTTGTCAGCTTGTCTTGAAATAAAAATGGTAGAAACAAAGTATTCGGAACTTCTGACATAGTAACATAACTTTTTTTCTTTTTTTTTTTTTTTGCCAGTCTGGGAACTTTTTGGTCCAGAAATTTTGCCGCAGAGTGAGCGCTTTTCACTTTGATGCTACTCTTTGATACAGGCGGCTGTGAGCTGAGGCAGCTGCCCCGAGGAGGAGAGGATTTGACCCGTAAGCCTCTGAGATAACGTTACCTTCTGCCTTATGCTTAGACGTGGTGAATTTATAGCTCATATCTAGTGTTATCAAAAAAACTTGTTGCACATTTCCAATCCGTTGTTAGTGTAGTTAGCTTATTTAATATATTACGTGAATGTCACTGTCGCACTGCACTTCCCGTTGAACCCTGTTTAAACTCTTAAACTCTGAATGAAAAAAAGGAACGAATAGCTGAATACTCCTAAATCTGATTCATCTGATATAATTCTAGAGGTACAGCCCTGGTTTTAACCAGCCCCTGGTCATTTCTGGGGATCCACAATGCTTCTCTTCATTACAGTGTGACTGCTTAAATATTTTACACCAACATGAGCTCTTGGACTTCTTCATGCTAACTGAAAGAACATTTCCTTTCTACCAGATTGTGAGACACTGGAACACTGACAGTCTTTGCCTTTCTTTTCTCACATAAACACTGGTA